ATCATCAAAAGAATACAAATTGTATCAAAAATTAGCACTAAATTTCAGATTCAAGAGAACTTACTTGACAAATTGCAATTTATAATTGTTAAAATTTAGCAATAATTTTAGAAGAAAAAATTGCAAAGATTCCATTTTTTTAAAATAGCTTTGTGTTAACAATAATCACCTGCTAATAAGTATTGTCTATTATTTTCTAAGCGCAAACCACAAGCTGGACTTTCTGGCGACAGAATCTTACTAGGCATTGTAGAAAGATCCCAGAAAGGTGGCATCTAAATGACATTTGACGCAAATTTTGTTAAGGTAATTACAGTTTTTTAGTTGATTTTATTTTTATCTTGTTTAAAAAACAATTATTTAGCATAAATTACGAATAGTAATTGAAGTTTGCAAATAGTAATTATTGCAAATTTGAAATGAAATTACCTTGAAAACTTCAACATGCTGAATTGTGTATTCTTTCTCATTTCGTCTAACATCTGTATAATTTGTATTTTCTATCAGATTTGACGCATTGACAAAAATACGTGATACTAAAATACTATTTATATTTTTTATTTTGGATAATTCATTAGTCAATTTTATATGTGTGCTACGATTTTTTTGATTTTGTTATCTCTAATGGGCCTTTGCAATTGTAACTATTCAAAATTTTAATTGAAATAATTTAATTATAAATAAATAGTTTCTTTGCGCTATGTTAATATATTAGAGAACCAAACTTTTACAAACAGGGATCTCATATTTTTTAATTAATTAATTAATTAATTAATTAATTATTTTTTGTTTTTGTTAAAGAAGTATTATTAAATCAAATTAATGAGTAAAATATCCATACCCCAGTCAGCATTGCAAAAAACTTGATTGAAATCGCTGTACATACACGAGCAGCTCAGTACGCAAACGTTGCAGTAAGTAATAGTAAAAAAAAGATAAAATAATTTACGTAAATTTAGCATTTCCATTATTTCTCTGAAATGCCAATATTTATTCCAAGTCTTTTCCGTAAGTAAATTGGCGTCAGTCTCACGTATTAAATTTCAAACTGATTACGTATCTCCTATATTTTTTTGGTTATTTATATTTTATATAACTTACTTGTCAGGCAGTAAGCTGAAATGAATTATAATTGACAATCGAAGTAATAATTTATTTTTTACATCTCTATGAGATCCTATGCAAAATTATTACCAAAATAACTTTCATTACAAGTTGATAATGTCACACTCACTTACTAGCTTTATAATCAACTAATCTTGTCTATAGAATTTAATATTTTCCACTCAAACAAAAGTACTGAACGTTCAAGGCAATCACTACCAAGACTAAAATATTGTAAGAGCTCTGAAACGATTTGGCATCAATAATGTCATTAAGAATGAGCAAAATGCGTCCACAGGAATCGCTTTACTTGGTGCAGTTAAGTAGATTCTTTGAATATTTAAGTGTTTATAGTTATAAAGTACTGAAACAAATATTTTTGTACTAAGCATAATAAAATAATATCGAATATAAACTTGCACTGAGGTTGTTTCTTCGTACGTTGGGGTGCACTGAATCATCATTATCAATTCAATCACTTTATAAGAGTATTTTTTGGGTAAAAGAACCGGAATCTACGGCATGAATCACAGTCTCCCTTTTGCTTATACAAATTCTCCAACCACCAGAACATTGCCATTTCTACAAGAAACGATGGATACATTGCACTCACCATAGTCTTAGCATTAAACGTTGTATACTCTGAAGGTTGAATATCCTGCTTTCAAATGCTTCCACTCTTTAATCAATTACTAATATATAATACAATTCCTCTATCTGTTCACATCACATATTACAATTAAGCAACTGATTTCCATAAACACATTTGTCAAAATCCATACAATACTTACTGATCATGAAAAGATCAATAAAATCGCGAGAAAAAGTATGAATCACTTGAGCTGTCATAATACTTCAATATAGAAAAAACCAATTTGGACAACACAGTAAACACTCTGAGGGTTATAAACTGAAATTTCAAAATTTCACTGGACAGAGTATTAAGAAAGGATTAGGATTTCAAGATTGAATTAATATTTCTCCAAACTTGACTTTGGAAAGAAACATATCACGTTACTTAGGAATGCATCTACATAGTTCAACTTCACTCCATTTTCCAGAATTTAACATTAATTAACACAAACATTTTACAATTCAGCATACTAAAAAATTCTATTTTTTTATTACAGAAAATGCAATAAAACATGAAAAGTTTGCTAATATAAGTAATAGAGGTCGGTAGAGATCAAGGTACTTACAAAAACACGAAAAAGCATTATTTTGACTACACCTTAAAAGTTTCAAATCTACAAAAGCAACAAAATGAATATACCTATAAATAGGAAACCCGTGGAAGCCATCTTAGCCATTTATAGCTACATAGTTCTCGTGCTTATAGTTTAATTTGATGCTGGAACCTTTGAACTACAAAAGTTGCAAGACTTAATTAAGCTTTAAGCAGTAAAAAACAATTACAGATTGAGAGTTGCCTACAAGAAAAAGGAAGTTAAAACATGTATCACAAAAACTTATGCATAAAAATGCAACAAACCTAATTATACGAATATAGTATCAATTTTTTCGAACTACACATTATAATACTTTTCAGTAAACACAAGTTATAGTCTGAATAATTAAGAACGTGCTGCAAAAGAGAAATGATTCTTAAGGAAGATAATTACACAAAACAAATGACTTGTATTTACTGAAAAGATATATACAATATCTTATACAATATCATTTTATCAAATTCTCAATAATAAAATGCCCTCAAATTCTGTAGCTCAAAAGTACTCATGCTTGCCTAGCGCATACATAAAATTTGAATAGTCTTTACAAATAAATTAATCCACCTATAATAAAATAAATTAAATGCAAATGTCAAGCCATTAATGCTGAGATATGAAGAATTTAAACAGGTTCCAGAATTCATTGGCATGAATCACCACCAGCTTCTTCATTATTATCTTCTGCTTTTTTAATAACTTCCTCAAATATCGACGTCATGTTATCCACTTCTTTTTGCTATAAATGATCTCATTTATCAACAAAATTAATAAGGACGAACGATGTATCATTTACTTTGCTCTTCTGTCTAAGTTTGGATGAAATACTTCAATCTTCTATATTTTTTATTTAACATAATGCCAACAAAGCAATTTTATTTGCTGCTTCACAACCCCTCGATTATTTTTCTAACAAATTATATCATGAATGGTGAATTGAAAGTTGCAGGTCATTTTGATCTTTATAATACATTTAAATTTACTGTACCTATTAAAATGCAAAAATAATGGCCTAAAATGAATATGAAATGATGCAGATTTACATATAAAGTGAAATGAAGATAAATTTTCAAAATTTGCTAATTCTTAAAATTTTTCAAATCCTCTACTTATCAATGAATTATTGATTTTGTTTCTACAAAGCTTTATATCTGTGCAAAATGTTTTTAAAGCACATTATGAAGTTCTGTACAATTATGATCTGAAGGTATCAAAACTAAAAATAAATGACAAAACTTTTGCGTCTTTATCAATTCGTCCTCCATTATTTTCATATTATTCTCATTAATATAATATGTGTTTACTGTGCTTCTATTTGTTGCACATGAGCTTATTTTTTTAAACTGAAAAATTTGACTTTCTGAGTACCAACATATAAATTTTAGTCTACTTGCTAAAATGAATTTTGTTTGTGATTTCCATTCAATCTATTAGTCATTTTTCACATCTCATTTCAATATCTTTCAAGTGTAACTATTAGATAATTACAATACTCATATTTTGCATTTTGCAACTTACTTTTGCCTCTAGGCTAACAGAAAGACTGTTAATTTTGGACTCCTGATGTCTGACTTTTAACCGCAAAGCAATTGTATCCGCTTCATGTTGTTTTATCATCCGATCAATTTCGTTGTTTGCACTGTAATAAAATATATTTGCATTATTGATACTGTAACAGTAAGCATGAGTCAGATTTCCTGAATGCTACAACGCAACTAGCAAAGCAAAATATGCATCTAATATATATTTAAATCGAAAAATATACAGATCGAGTTGCTCTTCAGCATTCTGTCGAAGGATGTCGAACTTCTCTATAAGAATGGAATACTTCTTGGCAATTTCTTCTGATGCAAGCTTAGCTTTTTTTTCACTCTACAAATAACAACACTTTATGCAACTTATTACATAATTCTGGAACCAATCATCATAATCATCAGTGACTGCATTAAAAATAAAAATCAGTATGCTATTTAACCTAACTTATTCAGAATATTTTATTAAATCTTAGGATACAGCAAATAATTATTAATTATGAATTTATAAAACAAGTTTCCTATCCCTCACTGCTGAATAATAAAATTAAAATTTCGGATATTAACTAATTACATAATGTCAACGCTCATAATGGTGATTTCCTTAATGATTCCAATCTGATTAAAGAATAAGTTAACAAACCTCTTTAATCTCAACACATAACTGTCGCAATTTTTCATACCGTTTGAACAATTCACCGTATGTTCTTTCAAGTGAATTAACTTCATCAATAAGGTGATCCCGTTCCTTCACTAACTGACCAACATCATCTGATGACAGATTGTTTTCTGGTCCAGGTTTATTTGTGTTTTTCCGTTCTGCTAAACTATTTCCAAATTACCAGCGTTACAAGCAATTTTAATTACTTTTCCATCGACACAATAAGAACAAATAAAATTTACCGAAATTCCATCACGTCAACTATGATAATTTATGATCACTTATTTTGATCAGAACTGAGAACTTAATGAACAGAATATGTAGTACATTTCTTAATTATAAAAAGAACAGTAAATAAGCACGCCTGTCCTACTAACTGAAGAAAAGATGTACTATTTTCAAACTTTGCAATTGCATGGTACAATAAAAAGGCAGAAGTTCTCTTCTTCGATCATTTTAAGAATATTCAGTATCTTCTAGAAATATCCAGAAAAATTTAGTTCATACAAATCTCATTCATCCTACATTACACAAACTGCATTTAATAAAATAATGTAATCATAATTAGCATGTAGTTCTTTCCTATTTTCACCATAAAAGTCATTATAAGTACACCAAGGTTTTGTGAAAATGCACAACCATATTAAGTCATCTTGAATGCACCAAATACCAAAAAAATTCTTACCATTAGAAGAACTTCTCCTCTTTAGTTCATCAACAAATTCTTTCACTAGTTTTTCGTACTCACATACAGCTACCAAACGTTCGGCAGCTTTCTGCTCTAATTGTTCATTTCGTTTTTGTTCATGTGAAATTAGTTGGCTTAGCTTAAAAAAAGACAAAAATATCTAGCACTTATAGCATTAGTTGGTGCCTTAAAACTTATAAATAGAATCTTACCATTAAAACTTCTCCTCTTCAACTCATCAACAAATTTCGAATACTTATTTTTCTATGCATGATTTACCTAAGCTTACATAACTAAGTCAAGCAACCTTCTCATTTTTTGCAAACCACTCTTTCTCCTTCAACGCGACAATTGCCTGAATACGCCGTACAAGTTCTGTTGAAGGATCATCCAAATTCATCTGTAAATATTTGACGCTCTGGCAAGCGATTTTAAATTTATTACAGATACATACAGCACTAAGGTAAATTCTCATAATTTAAAAAACTATTTAGAATTATCATACATGCTTGATTTCGTTATATGCTGCGGCAATCTCAAGGCTGACTTGGCTTTGCAAAGTTATTGTCCTCTGTCGGACGTGAGCTGGTTTCTGTACTTCTCTAAAATAAACGAAACCTACAGCAAATTAATAGCAATAAAAAATCTGGTCTACATTCTTCCAAATACTTTTCAACTTCTTGAATTAAGACAAAAACTTGTTAACCTTCTAGAACTTTCTAATTTTTCATGCTTCGATCGTACAGAATCAACGAGATTTGCAGAAGGAGTAGATGTTACAGAATTATCAATCGGCACAGAAGAAGAAATAACTGATGATATTTGTTGCGTAATGCTTTTGATCGGAGTTGACGTAGCTAGGGGTTGTTGTTGCTTGTGAGACTCAGAATCAGCCTTTACTGGAAGTTGCTGTTGGGCCAGAGGTTTCATTGCTACAACCTGTGGTGCTGCTTTTGGTGGCACAACTTGCTGAGATATTTGCGTCTGCTGTGTAACAGATGGAGATGGAACACGATTAGAAGATTGACATGATGTTTCGGTTGGTATTGACTGTCCCATTACATTTGATGACGAAGTTTTTACATCTGAATATTAGCACTTTCAAATCATTTTAAGAAAAATTCAGTAATTAACTGGGCTGAGCAAACATTTTTATCAATTCTTTAGAAATGAATGCTAGCTATCGATGTAAGAAAAAAATTTTTAATATTGTAATCAAAACTGTAAAAAGAATGAAAGTAGTCAGTGAAAAACTGAACACTTTATAAGACTTCAAAATTACAAAATTATTCAACTCTATACTTATTTTGCAATAACTCTTTCAATATATCACTTTTTTGAAATTTTCAATATTTTCGCTCGAACATCCTAATTCAAACATACCTTTACAAGCAGCAACCGAAACTATACTTTCTGTCGTGGCTTTGGACAATGGAGCAACAACTGCTTCTGGTGTCTGTGCAACTCGTACTTTTGACTGTCGTGTGATTGTCCTTGTATCAATGCTGAAAAATGATAGATTAAATTAAGATGTATGAAAATTTTGCAACAAAAATACCTTTCAACTTCTGAATTTCAATACCTTTTATCCAAATACGATTAAGAAAACAGTGGAGTATCTTTCACAGCAAGATATGAAATAAACAAATTTTTGATTACAAATAAGCAAAAATTTCAGTAAATCTTTTCTTATATTGCAGTGAGATGTCAAAAACATTGCTTCGTTTATATTCATAAATTTACCAAGTAGCACATATAATAGTTTTCCAACTAAAATGCTGCATATAATGCTGCATATAATTGCTGCATATAATTGAATCTTACTCAAATATCGTGCTATCAAAAATTAAAATCATTCATATGGAAATTGAAAAAGATAGGAAAAAAATAGCATGCAATAAAAAATATTACGGAAATTTAACTAAATCTGCAAATCACTGAGTGAACTTTTCTTATAAAACTACTTCATAAACATAACTTCTTGATTGTAAAATCGCATCGTCTACTGCCTCTTCTTTTTTTACACCGCGGAATCTTTTTAATTAATTGAATTAATGAAAAAGACGAGCAATAAAAAGTAAAGATCAGCAAATATCAAGATCAAAATATTACTACGAGGTTAGTGGAGAAAACGAAAGTTAACTTTTCATCTGTTGATAAGGTCAGCGCCATCACTGAGATGAATTGAAACGACAGGTTAATGAACTCTAATATAACCAATTATGGTGAAAAGTGCAGCATTTTAGATGATTATCCAAATTAATACACACGTAACATCCGAACGTATAAATAAATTAATTGTCACCATCAAAATACATTTTTCACTTTACATTCCATGCTTCAATAACATGAATAAATACATCCATAAATCCGAAACCTTAATTTTACACATTACAACGTAAAATTTCAGCCTCCAAATAAAATACTGTTCTTTACCAGAAACATATGAATAAATAAATGGAATTTCTGGAAGACTTTCTAAATGACGTAATAGTTTACTGCAAACTACTCATAACAATTTTCATACATTTCCGAAATTGCTTGTTCAAAGGTTTTATAAACCTTTACTATATTCTTGTAAAAAATTCCAAAAAACAAGAGCAACTGTATGTTTTAAGTTAGATGTCTCGAAGATTAATGAGGAAACTATTTTTAATTCTGAAGTATAGGACTATTTGAGGCACTTAAAAAACATTCATGAGGAGAATAAATAAAATGTATAGTTAGAAACACATTCTTCGACATAACTGTTATCTGGAAAATACAAACTGTTTTTTGTTTGCAAAAAAATAATTACTAAATATAGAGATGCAAATAAATATTTCAAGATTAACAATGCTATTGCTAAAAACAAATCTGATAAGGAAAAATAACAATGAATTATTCATTTGCATGTCGTTCAAAATGAGCTTTAGTTCATCCGGAGTTTAAACTTCCATAGTACTTATAATTTAGATTATCAACTTTGTATTACTTGACAATGATTAATATATTCTGAAAATGGTTGCATGTAGCTATCAGAAAATGCATGTTAATGATGACTTGTGGAGATGCGCATCATTTCCTTAAATTTGACGCAATAAATAAATAAGCGAGAAAACTTTCAAGTAGTTTCTCAAAGTAACAATAAACAAACCCTGCCCATCTATTTCCACAAGTCATCATTAACATGCATTTTTTGATAGCTGCATGCAACCATTTTCAGATATATAATAGTCATTGTCAAGTAATACAAAGTTTATAATCTAAATTATAATCGTAGATCAAAAACATGACATTACACAAATGATACTAAGAAAAAGATTCTTTAGACATCAATCTTTTTAAGTGAATAATTACGTTTCCCACACTTCATGAAGCATGCTAATAATTTCATTATTCTAACAAATTCTAACAAACCTTGGTAGTGACTCACGAGATGCCTCTAACACTGCCACGGGTTTACTTACTCCATCTGACGATATTCTTTTCACACCATCCCCTTGATGTTCGGAAACTTGTTGAGTGATCACATTTGAGATAATCTTGTTACTTTTTAATTCTTTAATTTTACTGTCAAGTATTGCTGTTGACTGCAGCTCATTAAGCTGCTCTTTCTGAGAAGAAACTTTTCCATCTGAAAAATAAGGAATCAAATCATTTGAAAAAATTTTGAATTTACTGTGAGAAAAAATGACAGATTTATACTTTTCAGAGACTTTGGAGTAACTATTTAATAACTTTTTTATTAATAAATTTATCCGAGCTCAATGTAAAGCATCAGAATTTATCTACCTAATTATTCAATAATCTTTAATTCTGCCACATATTTAGTAATAAATTGCAGGATAAAAAAAAAGAAACATGTCAGTACTTACTTTATTATGTAGCAATGTAAAATTCCTTATTTACTCGTATTTATTAAATGTCATTACACTCATTCTATTGCATAAATTTTTAATTTGTGTTTGACATTTAAACATTTAACATCTCATAACAAAATTGTTTAATGAACCAAATATAACTTATCATCAATTGCGTTTTAACACTTTTAATTCATTTCAAATATATAACAACCACGTGAACTAACCATCATTTCGTTTTTTGGTAAACAATTTCATGACAGAAACAAATGTCGATCCGGTAACTGACGGCATTTTTATTGCTTATTAATTAGAATAATAAATAAAGAATTTGTTGAGACTAAAATTGAACGAAGAAAACAAGACCAAGATGAAATGCATACGTAAAATGAAATAAAAAATGAATTCCAAACATGCCATTATTTTTTAAATATCAAATAAAAAACACGAGTAAATACAACTTTATTTTTTAACTTCATTTAATTTTAAAAAATTTTAATTTACTTGTTCACCTACTCATATTTTCACAATTTTTATTTTACAGAAAGCTGAAAAAATTCTAAACGCAGGCTTTGAAATAAAATTAAATACAACTGCATACTACATCTGGTGAAACTAATCAAATGTAAGCTACAAGTTTAAATTTTTTGATAAAATAATATTAATACAATTTTTCATTTTTATCAATGAGTTATCCAATTTATTGCTTAAAAATAAAATATAGATATTCTATTCTATCTTAAACTATGTCTATGACTTATTAAGCGTTTTAATTTCTTGTCAACACTGACAACTTCTTAATTTATATTATCTTGAAAAATATGCAAGAAATTAAAGATATATTTCCACGAAACAATTCACTACTTCTACTAAAACCGCAACTGTCAATTCTGATATTATCAGAAAATGATATAATGAAATCAAATATGTTGCACAGGCCGGGAAGAAGTCAAGGTTAAGAATATACTGAGAACAAAGTAAACAAATGTCAAAAAAATTGTAGAATTTAGCACTTAATGCCAGCGTTGTTCTTAAGACTGTCCATTATATTATCAAATATATTACACAGTTTCAAAATTTCATATCTTCTTTGTTCTAATTCATAAATTATCAAATTAAATGAAAATTTACCAATAATTTACCTAAAATATAAATAACAATCTGAGCAATATGCCAAATGAACGAATTATAAAATCTAAGAATGATGCTGAAAAATTATTTATTCAATATTCTTCAACAAATCTACGTTAATTGTCAAGCTAAAACTGCAAAGGTAAGAAGAGAAGATTATATACAAATCAGAATACCTAGTTCTGATATTAACTTTGCAATACTATCATGAAAACACAATAAAGTAATACAAACAATTATTCCCTGAATGAAATCCAATGAAAAGTTCTATTTATTTAAATATACAAATATAAATTTAAATTATTTTCTTCAAAGATGCAAAATATTTGGAGAAATTCTATAGCACATAATTTATGTAATTCATACATTCAGTATTTTATCCAAACATCGTTCTCTCATAAATTTGCCACGTAAAATAGTGCAATTATAAACAACGCAACAAAGTTAATGTCATAATTTTTCAGCCTTTAAAAAAAATAAAAAACCAATTTTTGTCATAAGCAAAGAGGAAAAAAATTACAGACAATCATAAGCTGAAATTATAGTTAAACTAATTGTATGTTTTTTTAATAAATGCAAAGATTGCAGAATTCTTCAAAGCAGACCATAGTTTACTTCGTAGTAAACCAAAATACCAATAAAAATCACACTAAAATGCTACTGATCCATTTTGCTTTCAGTAACAAAAAAATAATCTGCCTTGAAAAAGTTCTGCAATTTTTACTGCAGTTTTCGTACTGTGATGAATTTGCTCTTCTTCTCAAACGTATACTTTGCTCTAAACTTCAAAAAAATGATCTTTTTTTTGCTTTGATACAAAATAACAAAAAAAAACCAACTCACAAAGACTAAAAACAAAGAATAAGACAGATCAAATGAAATAAATTTGATGCATTTCACGAATCTATTATTTGTAGATGATACAGAAAAGTCATTTTTCATGATCAGATCAGAACTGAAACAAGTAGGCATTAAGTTAGGAAAAAAATAGTACGCTAATTAATACTACCTTAGTAGACATTCCGCAATATCAATGTATGAAACGTCTGAATAGAATACGTTTGAAAAAACATTGCCAAAAAGTTCCCAGTTCTGCCTGACTTTTAAATAAAAATTGTATTCGACATTACTTTTATCCCCTCCACTGAATTATTACATCATTTCAATTATAATACTTAAATCCAATCAATATTCATTAATTTTCATTGCGTCTACTTCGCCCAGAAATTTCTATAGAATTTCAGAAGATAGCATTCTGAACTAGAGACAAATTTTCATGCGGCTTCTTTCATAGTTTATTACAAAAATAGTTATAGTGAATTTTGTTACATTTAAGTAAAAGTGAAATATAATAAAAACTGGTTTTTACTGTTTCAGGCAAATGAAAAACAATTATTTTTATAAATATGTAGAGATCGAACCGATATTTATATGTCTAATATTATCAAATCATGTCATATATTTTCATGACTACAAACGTGTTATCATTAATTTCATTAGTTATTAAACTTCTATCTACGTCATTTTTCTTACTTACGGCAACAAAAACATCTTATAAAAAATCCCCTACAAACTAAAAATTTAATTTCTACAATTATTTCTGCAACAAAAACAACCGAGAATATTCCTACATCTACTATCCAAAAGTTTGACCTGTATATGAACACCTTACATAGACTTCTGCACCAGCAAATTATTATACAAACTCTTCAATGTCTAAAATTTCGACTTCTATAATAGTAAAATAGCAATACTTTGGCTGTAACTTGTTCAAATAGTTTCTATAGATTGCAAAAACATTTTGTATTGAAATTTTAAATTTCTGTTAAGGCAGCTAGCTCACTTTTACTTTTACTTTATAAATCATTCTCTCATAAATTTACTTCGTAAAAGTAAAAGTCAGCTACCTTATCACTGATAAAGCAGATAAAACAAGCAAAAAGAAATGTTATCCGGCATAAAGATTCCCCTCCTTGTATTGTCCTTTATACTTTCTAAAAGACTATCAAATATATTAGCAAATGCATAGATAAAAACAAGCTAAAAAACTCACTAAGTACTATAATGACGAATGTAATCTTACTTTTTTTTTCAGCAAAATATCCACGTTCGATAGTTTACTTAGTGCTAAGTTAGAGTTTTGACGCTAATTCATAATTTTTAACTCTGTTATGAAATAAATTATCATCAACTGATAATACTGTAAACCTAAAAAATTTTAAAACAAATTAAGACAAAATTCAAGCAAAAATTACTTCTGCAATCTGCAAACTCCATATTGCCAGAGTCCACAAATGCTTGAATTCCTGATTTGATCGTATCTGTGCTTCTGACAATCGTCTGGAAAGACAATTAATAAAATAAAGAATCATTTAATATAAATTCAAAGAAATCATAAACGTGAACCACAAATTTTTCATGAAATTATTTAAGCGAAATTTTGGCAGTGACCTATATAAATTTTAAATATAGATAGTGGTTTTATAATAATTAGTGGATAAAATTCAAGTAAAACACAATTTCTTTTCTGATTTCAAACGAGAGTTCAAATAGTAGCTATAATAACGTATAGTTATGAAATAATCATACGCATAGTTATTTACGCTGAGTAAATAATCACGTAAGACTATTATATACGTGTGCTTATTTTAAATGAATAGTTACGCAATAATCGCAATGAAATACTTGTCGTTACAGTATATTAAGAGTGAATAATATTTTAATAAAAATTTTTTAGCAATGAGCACAGCTAAGGAAAAGGAGCAATATAAACATTGAAAATAAATAAAAACATGCATATTAAATTACATGAAAAGCAAATATGTGTAAGGGAATGATTGCCAATATTTAAAAAACATTAATGAAAAAATGCATCACATTAACATTTGTATTATAAATTAGCACTGTAAGAAAGTGGGCATTTCGAGATATAAATCGACTGTAGTAACTAAATAACCCAAACATTTCACTCAAGCAAAACAATAATGATTATTTGCTTAAAATATTTGATAATGATTATTCGCTTTTTTTTCAATAGAAGAATTATTTATTTATTTTATTAAAAAAATAATTTGACCTTTTTGTATTTCTTAACGAGAAGATACAAAATTATTTGATTAATTCTTTGGGAAAAAATAATTTTTAAAATTAATAATATCGTTACTATTTTGACAAAATGTTGTAAAAGAAGTATATATTTCATGTAATAATTATTTCCATAAAGTTATTTTTAAATATATTTTAAGTACTTATTATATCGATGAAAAAATTACTATAAACAATTATAATAATGGTAAATGAGATAAGAAGAAATCTGAATATGCAGTTAGTTTAAGACTGCACTTCTAATATATTGATACGATTTGAAGTAATACATTACTGTAACGTGTAACTAATTTTTCGTGTTTGAAATTACTCGTAAAAAAATTTTTATCTACAAGAAAGAGACTAACCATGCTATCAAAATTGTTTGTATTAGGCGATTTCGGAACGTTAACTTCCACGCGGTTTTGTTCCAAATCACATACCGTACTTGTGGAATCAATGTTATTTTTTTTTAAAAAAGATTCTGGAGCTTTTTTTTCGGCATCAGTTTTTTCAGAATCATTTATGGGAAGTTTGGCTTCAGATTCACTTTTTTGAAGTGTAGATAATGGTACTTTAGCTTCAACCACATGTCTTTGAGAATCAGATGCTGAAACTTCAGTATCTACTTTTGGCGCAGAAACTGGAAATTTGGTTTCGAGGGTGTATTTTTTTTCTTCAGTTTTGGTTTTTGTGGGAACAGAAGTCAAAACTGTAGCAGAATTTTTGTTTGAAATATGAGCTGCCACTTTGGATTCAATATGATTTTTTTCTGGAGTCAGTTCTAGTTTAGTTGTTATTTCAGAAAGAGCAGGACGCAACTGTACTTTTCTAGAATCCGAAGTTAGCATTTTTTTGGACATTTGAATTGGTTGCTTGCTTGTTGATTCTGAAATAGTTTGTTGCATGTTTTTTTCGCATGAATTATTGGAATCTTTAGCTATTATCGATTGAGAGGCTCGACTTGACTTTGTAGCATCAGCTTGCATGGTTATTACTGATGCTGAAGTTGGTGATAATGATGGCGATTTTTGAATGGCAGAAAGAGTAGAAACTGAAGTTGAAGTTAGAGATGATTTATGATTTGAAGAATGTTTTGGTGATGTTTCTTTCGTGCTAGAATCTGGCATATAATTAGTCATATCAAAAGTTTTATCTTGAACTAGAGTAGAATCCAGTAAATCTTCACTTGTGATATCTCTTTCATGCAGTTGTAAATTGGTTTCAGATACAAGCGAAATATCAGGCTGCTTGCTAGTGACATCTAGTTTAGATGGAACTGATACATCAAATGCCTCCTCAACATTGTCTTGAAAATTGACGAATTTCGATCTGCTATCATCGCATTTGGCTAATTCATCAGAATTCTCTTTATTCATCAGGCTAAGAGATTTATCAGTCAGAGAAGCTTGAATCGTTGTTGCAGTTTCAGATTCTAGAATTGTATCATCCTGTAAATACGAGAGTGATCGAAAATTTTCTTTAATATCCAATCACTAATCGAAATATCCTCAAAAAAATCTGCGGTTAAATTTTGATAATTAAACTTATAACTTCTACTTTCTTGCATAATAATAAATACCCATCACAAACTAAAAAAATTTTTTATATCTTTTTAAGTAATTACAATTAAATGAAATGTGAAATGTCGAAAAAATTAGTGATAAAACCAAAAATCAATTCTGTGAAATTTGGAAATAATTTTATACTTTATAACTAATTTTTATTCTTCAATCAAATTCAATCCTTAGAACTTCATTGGGACAAAATTGGATTTCAGTGGTTGATTGAAGATTCCTTTGTTTTATCAGAAATGATCGGAACAATATACTAGTTAATCCAAGCTATATTTGAAATCGTAATAGAAAACTTAATTTCGACATGCAAATTAATAGTTATTTGACCTATAACCCTTTATTCTACCACAACAATGTGGCCGAAAATAAACTATATTCTTTCACTCTGGTTTTGTGGCTACCTTTTTTGAAATTTTGAAGATTCATTTTGGTTGAATATTTGACTCGTAATCTTCAAATTTAGAGTAATAAAATTGAAAAGAGATTAAGTTGATAAAAAGCTTTAAAAAAAACTTACAGGTTCTTCTAGCGAACTACTCAAACTGTCAGAATCTATTTGCTTCACAGTTTGTTTTGTTATAAATTTTAATATACTTCTTTTTTTCTCTGTATCGTCTTGAAATTCTTCTTCCCCATGACCTATAACCCTGTATTTTGGTTTTGCCATCCAGAATCAAAACTAAGGTAATTTAAATATCATCAAAAACATGCATAATAATCAAAAAATGTATTCATTTTTAAAATTACAAATTAATTTTTTGGTTTTAATACTAACTATTGATACTGTTATCAATTTTACTCAAAAAAAGTTTCGGAAAATTTGAAAATTTTCTTGTCACTATCGATATAAAATAACTATACGAGCATTAATTATAGAAGTAATTCATGTCAAAAATATGTTAGTTACCACAAGTCGAAGAAGCACTGCTACTGGAAATGGTGTAAGTCTCATTAGAAGACATTGCATCAACAAATTCGTCTTCCGTTGATTGCAAAGACTAAAAATAGCAACAAAAATTCAGAGTGAATTAAACAAAATGATATTTATGCAAATTATATCAATTATTCCAAAAATTTAAGTGAAAATCAACAAAAAATGATTACAAGGTCATGAATCTGAAAGATGAAAAGATTTCATGCAACTATTGCTTCTTTTCATGAATATATTCAAGTCAGAGGTCATTGTCACTTAATAGAAATTCAAAGTTTTTGAGAAAATTTGATTATTTAAAAAAAAAACAAAAATAATATGCTCAAATTTATTGCCATCTAAAGAAGAAAAAATTAAGTAATTCAATTCTTGTTAGTTAGTAAAACAGTACACAATAACAGAAAATACAAAACTTCAGTACACAATAACTAGCAAAAATACTTTGCTAGTAAAACTTAGAAAGCACGTTCTAGTACTACTTTTACTGAACTGATTGAATTCTAAGTCCAGTTATAGAAATTACTGCTAAACTTCCATCTCTCACAGTAAAAATCCAATGTTTTAACAATTTTTGAATTTTAAATTACTAATTTGAGATCAACCAAATCATTGATCCAAACCAAACTGCATCAGAAGTTATGTTCAGAGTTCCTTATTTGCTGATACTGGCTTATATTTTGAGCTAAAATTTATTATTTTAACAAGTATCAAGTCATTTTTATTTTAGTATGATTTTATATTAAGTTTTTGAATTTTAAGAGGAAAAATCACTTCTCAAAAATCATTGCATAATTAAATTTTAAGTGATTTTTGGCAATTTTAAAAATAAACAGTAGAAAGTGTGCTTGTATGAGAAATGGAAAACTAATCAAAAGGTATATAAAAATATTTTCAGTGGCCAGTGACCTTAGAAATCAACTCTGAAATTGAGGTCATGGCTTCGGAGATCATACTCCGATAACTTAAAGCTAATCTTTATGTAATACTTGTACATATGAAATAACATTCTTAAAACCAAGTGTAGATGCCAGAAGTACTCTCCGAAAATGGACTAACTTTGCGCTCTAATAAAATTCTGGATTATGTTGATTAAAAATAAAATCAATTGACGAGGTTGTTTTCACTAATTTTTAATTATGACAATTTTTGTTCAGATTTTTAATTAACTTAATTCATGAATCTATCAAAATCTATCAAAATGAATTATTAATCAACATCTTAAAATAATTTTTAAGCTAAAATTTTTCAAAATTAATACAAAATTATTTTTGCCAATAAGTTAACGAAAAATATTGTTTTAGTCTCAAAAAAATAACATTTCCGTCAAAATATTTTAAAAAAAATAAAATAAAACAAAAAATGTAGTGAATATGCGTACGTAATAGTCACTGGACTAACTTCGCGAGTTCTCCCAAAATATTTTTATTACAACTAAATTAATTATTACTCATTATCAACTGATAATGAACTAAAATATGTATCATTCTTGTCTAATGTCTAACTTTTTGAAAATTTGAAAGTATAAATTAAAATTTAACCTAAAAACAAAAACTGAAAATAATTTCTTTTAAATTTTTTAACGAATTTTATGATCAAATCAGCACAACTATTTCACAAAAATTTGTAATAGAATAACACTGCAAGACACCTTTGCCAATCATTTATCCAATGAATTTCAAATTTTTGTGTATAAATTACGACTTCTTTCTACTTTTTACGTGTTGTGCATGCGAATATGTTTGAGTCAAAGGTCACTGCCATTAAAGAAAAATTGAATATTTGAAGTAAACAGCAGTAAAAATGATAGGAGCAGTTTTATGCAGTTGAAAACTGATTACAGTTTTCAACTGCATAAAAGGCAACAAACTTTGAAAATATACAAAAAATAAATCATTAAAATTAAATAATAAAATTAATTGTTCATAATGACTAGTAGTTATTACGGTATAATATTTTATGATATTAACAATTTATTGAAAATAATTTAAATGTAATTAATAAATGACAACGAATTTACTTTCCCTCTGTAAAATGAGAAATAATTTCTTAGCAGATCATTTTTTTAGTAAATTACTCATTTATAGCTTTCACGTAAATATGACTGACTTTAAATAAATATTAACTTGAAAGTAATTCATGGATTAGATAGAAAACTGTAGTGTTGATTGAGTAATTATATTTTGCAATCTTTCACTGATTTGTAAATCATATGAATAGTATTCTGTAGAAAATACCGTAATAACTATATTCTGTAAAATATTATTCATATAATTTTTTATTTTTATAATGAAAGTTTAGAGACTAATCAGCTACAAATGATATTTGATAAGAAATTTGATCAGAAAGGATATACATTGCAGCTGTATAATTTTCAATTTTTATTCTCTATCAGTTTTTCAAAATAATTAAGGAACTGTATACGTTTACTTATGAACCTTTGTTATAATTATGAATTTGAATGTAATTAAAAAATTTACACAGTCTGAGTCATAATCCATTCTAGTTGACCGTATTACTTCGTGACCTTCTAAATTCGCATCCATTACATTACTGTAAGCTTCTTTGCCTTTTTCAGTTTCATTATTCATATCTGAATCAATTACCTGAAAAAATATAGTATGTTTTAGTAATAATAAGCATCGTTAAAAAAACAGATGATTATTATTTTCGAATATTTTTTAAATATTTAAATATCTCTACCAATACATTTATCAACAATTCTCAATATTATTACTTTTCATGCTTTCTGTCATGAAAGTAAACTTTATTATGAGCTTTCCAAGTAATTAAATTTACATCATTAACATTGAAAAAGCATAAAAAGCAAGTTCAAAAGTTCAAGGAAAGACAGATTAGCTCATTACAATAGTAATCATAAAAGTCAAATTATTTTTAAAATTTGCGTCAAAGTTTAATGGTAATTATAAAAGTCAAACAAACAAGTCATTAAAGTGTAGAAAGAAACAGACATATACTTAGATCATTTTACTTCGATATCTTCTGCACAAATTTTTTATCCCTTTAATTATTTAGCTTAAAATTTTTGAATTAAAGTTGAAGTTTTCTATAACATAAGGAAAATATATTTATAAGCAAACTCCAAGTTATTATTTACTTTTTAAGATTATTCTGATACATTTTAGGGGCTAAGACTGCAGATGAAACGGAAATTGGTGTCTTTATAGCTAAAAGTTTCATTTATAACAATTCAAATTAAATCTTATAATTATTTTAATACATCTCGCTGTATTCAAAGAGAAGTAAAATGAATCTAGACACTTATCTTACTTATACCATTTCTTACCGAAAAGTGATACTATGAAAAATTAGATCACAAATATGTAAATTATATACGCTTGTAAATGTGACAAGTCTAATCTCTAGTCTATTGGCCTGAATTCCTGTACTACAGTATTGAATCTGTTTTCTGAAAATGTTCAAATCATTCCAGTAAAGTATCATAATCCCATCCAATCTGTAAGTTTATCACTGGACAAATATGATTCTTAATGAAAACAAATCGACTTTGTTTGATCATCTATGTACAAAAGTCTATCAGCTATACTTTGACTTATTCTTTATTTTTCTCAATAGCTTACAATTCATGCAATAATCATCGCATAACTAATCAATACAAAGTTTATCACAGTACTATCCACAATCAATTATTACAAAAATCTTATCTTTATTTATCTATCGAATCAATTTTATCATTCATTGAAGACTATTATAAAGTGCTACTTTTTCTAATGCAAATATCATTGCAAAATAGTTCAATTAGTAACAAATTATCACCAAAGTTTCCATTTATCATTACAAGAAATCCTTATCATCTACTGCAGATTATAAAATAATATACCTGACACTGCAGGTCATACCACAAAGTATTTTTGCCAATTAAAGGTTATTAATTTGTTATGTATTATTAAAAAATAATAACTATCATTTGGTTACTGATTAATTAATTAATTAATTAGCTAATTAAAAAAGATATAAAGAAGGCTTGACAAATTCATCGACTTAGTCAATTTTATCAATGAAATATCATAATTATTAAAAAATACTAATCGAAAATTGATAAAACAATAACAATTAGAGCAAATGCAAGGGAAGACTGCAGTACTTTCTAACATTCCGTCTCAGCCATCAGCGATACGATCAAAAACGAGTTCTGCTGAAAATAAATGTTCGGGAATGTTTGTTTGTTACTCTACTTCTATTATTTATTACTTTATTTTACTTTTTATACAAGTTCTAATAATCAATAATTGATTAAATCTTATAACTTAACAATCAATCACTACAGTAGTCCAATTTTTAAAGATCAAATTTAACTACTTCATAATATTATCAATAACTATTTAACAGCAATATTAATTTATCTTACTGAAAATTTTCGTTCAACACGGTTACTATCCAACAGTAGTGACTAATAAATATTAAATTCTTAAGTACTTTATTCAAAAAATACTTTGCCAAATACTCATAACGTTCTGAACATTTCTCGAGTTAGTTACTCAAATTTACCCAATTCTTCGTTCTCTTCAAATTATCCAAATTATTACACACATAATAACTCTACTCTAGACATCCATAATTGTAAACTAAAGTTCAAAATAAAGTTTAATTACAAGTCAATTTTCAATATATTATCACCGTGCAACGAAATGACACGCTTAACATATGCAAATTTCGGCAAATTTTGCGCCCTTCAAAGATTACATTGTAAAATTAGACCAAAACTGAATAGATTAGAACAAAATATCAGTATCTTAGTGAGATTAATCAGTCGTCCATCATTACTTGCGCTGCGTCATACTACATAATATAACCGTCAAGTGGTATAATATGTATATACACACGTACCTTACAATATATCTCGAAAAATGTTGGCACCAATTAAACTTTGAACACCAATCAAGTTTCCAAAATTTAAATTTCCATCTATTCCAAAATGACAAAGAAAGTCAAAGAAATTTAATACACGTCTTATTGTGCTAATCACTGAAATTAAACCATAAAATACAGTTCTGACAATAAAGCTTTAACAAACAGATATCGACAACACATTCTAGCATGTGCTACTTAAATTACAATTTATGAATATTAAGACGTAATTTAATTAAAGAAAAATAATAAAAATCATTTTAATAAGCAACTACCTGTAATATTAAACTTTTCATTTATGAAAACTGGAAAAAATGTTTTATGTTTATGAGCTGTAAAGAGTGGGTTTGCTTAAATGATAAACAAAATAAAAGCAGGCAATTCCAGAACAGAAATGTTTAGCTGTGTGGAAGAGAAAGACTAACAGTGCAATAATGACTACACATCAGTGTGTAGCATGCAATATACATCATTACAATTGAAAATCAAGACCTCAAAAATCAGACAAGCACATGTAAACATATGGAAAGACCCGAGGGATCAAGCGGGAATAACTTTAATCATTTGTTATATTTTAGATGATAAAAGTTATTGTCAAAAACACAAACTTTCATGAATTAAATGAACTTTTATAGAGACTTCGGTCATTAGTTGTGAATGACTGAGTTATTTAGTGAAGCATACTGAACTTTAAGCTAAGTCCAGTATGCTTCTGAAGTTGCAAATATTTCAGTCATCATACATCTCAACATAAGCCTATATCAAGCTATCACAGGTCACACCTTAGTCATGATTTACTTCAATCCTGGTTCATTTTTCACTTACCGGTTGGAAATTTTCAATTCACAGCATCTTCTTTTCTTCCCAGATTGCACGACTGATGAAATTATTAGAAAGGGACATCAGGCCTTTCACAATGAGCTAATTCTTTATGAGAGCGCTATTTTGAAACATAAAAATTTATGCAAGAACGATCATAAAATTGTAGCAAAAATCTGTAGAGTATGAACAACAGAATCATCAAAGGCTGAGCTAATCAATTACCATACGTATTTTGAAGAAATGATTCAAAAACACAAATTTTATCCTACAACTTAAAGTCTTTACACTCCGTTCCTTAAAACACAAAACACGCCGAAGATATCTGAAGTAATTTAATAATTCCTTTGCATACTATATAAAAGTAGAAATTTCGTACTGAAAAGACGTGTATTAGATGACAAATTAGAGTTTCATCGAAGTACAAGCGGTATCACTTGAAACCAAATACAGTAGAGGCTTTATCAGTTATCATTTCAGCAATGGCTAAACTGCTTGTGGCACCTGGACTAGGCGCGTTGCGCACATGCAACACAAACTGACTTAAATCCCCCTGACCACTATCAAAAATGAAATCATCAACCAAATTGCCATTTAAATCAAGAGCTTGAGCTCGAACTCCTGCTGGACCACTGTAAAATTCTGTTTATACAGAAATAATGGCAATCTGTGAGTTGAAATATGTATAACAAACAGTTATAACGGGAAAAACCACTTCTAAATTAAATTCAAAAAAAGTTAATGCATGACTTTTTATAAAGCTGTAATCCAGTTAAAAACTCTCATACTACAAATCTCCCCGTATATTCAACAATTATGTAGAACCAACTAATCTTTGTCTCAGCGATAATTCTTCATTACAAGTATCGACGAAGAGTTATGCATATATAGTATTCATTCGAAATATTTGATTTTAATATTCTATATGACTGAAAATGCAAATTTTTACCGTGTGACATCTGACTTTTTCAAATCTGGCATAAACTTCTGCAACTGCTTCACCTGAGCACCAATAAAAATTCCCCGATACAACTCTTTCATACCATACATCAGAAACTTGGATGCTAACTTTCTCATACCTCTGCAAATAATATGGTTTCTTGAAGTCGTCAATCACTTAAACTATTAGTAAATATAGACTACAGAAACCTGTAAGTTAATGTGTCAAACAAATCTGGTACAGAAATATTAGAATACATGTATCCTTCTCTTTTGAATGCTAATACAGCGTTTGGTCCTAACCAAACATCTGAAAAGATATTTTAATAAAAACTTTTCAGTACATTAATTAACAAGAAGAAAAATCGCAAATGGTTGATTAAGGAACTACTGAACATCTAGAACTAGCAGAGGAGTAAGAAACTGGAAAAAAACTAAAATGTTAACTGAAACCTCCATTCATCCGCGGTGTAAAATGGACACCAAGAAATGGAAATCGTGGATCAGGAACCTGAAACGACAAGATGTAAAAAGTAGACATACCTTCCATGATCTAAATACATTTATCAAAAAATTTGTCGGATATTTGCAAGTAGAAAGTATTAGTTGAAAGTGAAACTAATTTTTAAAAGTTAGCGGATTTCTTTTCTTCTACTATTTAATATTAATTTGTCTGTGATATATTAGCATAAAATAAATGAAAGGTAAAATAATGACAACAGAAGAAAATATTACAGGATAAACATTTGTCGTTACAAGTTTCTTCTTCTGTTCAGACGATAATAAGAGATATTCACCACGGAAAGGGACAATTTTTGGATGGGATGTACCTCCTGAAAGTTTTGCAATACGATCTGATTGCAATCCGCAGCATGTAATCACGTGTTTGCACCGAATTTTTGGCTGAAATATTTTGGCTTCTGTTGGTACCTACGATGTACTTAGAATCTGTACGACGGAACTAGACGGATTAAATAATTATAAACTGAATACAGAAATCAAAAAAGTTTGACAGAAGATAAGAACTAACTAAAGATGGTTCTGACTCGATAACAACAGGATAATAATTGGGAACGTTACTTTTTGTTGACTCTCCAACTAAAAGTAACTTTTTCAATGGATAATTTTTGAAAATAACTCCGCCATGTTTTTCGAAATCTTTTCCATAGGAGTTTGTGACCAATTCCCAGTCAACGATACCTGTATAAGGAGACCACAATGCCTTGAGTCCCTGAAAATTTCACCATTCCTTACTGTCATTATTATACATCAATGTAAACATGGTTTTCTCTTGACATTGTAACGTTTCATATTCTTTCCTAAAACTGAAAACTTACTATATTGTTAGTAAATCGACTTAATATAGAAGTTTGCAAGTTCCTATGCTACAGAATCCTTCAACACTACACTTAAAAAAACAACCTCTGTACAAAATGCTTATGAAATTCAAATTTGAAGTTAAGTAGTATAATTTCAGTTCAAGTTTTCAGCAACTTTGACGAAACTGAACAGTGGTAATATGTCTTATCAAATTAATCAAAAACTAGAAAGCGAAGAATTTTAAATCAGGCACAAAATTTTTTACCTTACAAAATGGTGCATAGTTTTTAATTTCATCACCACTGATCATTTTTATCGATTTACACCCATTTCTTTGAGCTCGTTCAAACAATGTCTATAAATTTTAAAGATAGGTGATGCAATTTTTAATTATAAAATGAATACAAATTCATTCAGTGTAATTTGATTAAACCATTAATGAAAAGATAAGTCACTAATATTTAAAAAAATAGTTTGCTCAAGTTGAAAGTATAGTCAAATAATGATATGGTGCAATGTTATCAATTTTATATTCTGTATTTTTCAACTGAATTACAAATTTCTCATTAAAAAATGAAGATGCACCACGAAAATTAACTACACAAAGCTGATTCTAAACTTCTTCCAAAAATTATGCTTCTAACCAATAATATTTTTTTATATAAACAAAAAATGGTACCAAAAAAATTTTGAAAACCAAATCTTACTTCTAAACGCGGTACTTCAATTGCATCCACAGCAACAATTAACTTTCCAATTTTTTTATAGGGTATCTCATGATCATTGCAGTACTCATAAGCCAAATCAATACCTGAGTTTAGTAACAAGATTTCGGTCGTTTTTTAAAATTAATCATGAATTCTAAAAATAGAAATAATTTAAACTTCAGTACGAAAGGAAAGTTAAAGCAAACAAATCCTAACTTTAACTCAAACTTTCGAAACAGACTATTCTCTAGGCGATTTCTGTACAGCACTTTACATAAACGTACTAACTGATTAATAATGGAACTCATTATTTTATGCTTTTATCTACCATCAAAAAAACAACAATGTAAAAGATTTTACCGCGAACGCAAAGTTTTGCTTTCAAACTGCCAGGTGCATAGTAAATACCTGCATGAAGCACACCACTATTATGACCACTTTGATGGGGAGCTATAAGGGTAATTTGAATGATCTAAACTCCATAAATAAACCATAAATTTAATACGCATTTTTACAAAAAAGTCGATTTTTCAAAAAAAAAAAAACTGATTTTTTCCAATGTCTAATGAATAAAGCTAAGTAATAATCACACCTTTGTTGCTTATGTCTTCTTTATATAATTATTTCCTTTTAGAGGCGAACTCAAGAGATGATCAAAATTTCAGTTTCGTTCTATTCTCCTTAAATGTTCCTCATTAAATACCTCAAATAAGAAAAACTTTCTAAGTTGAAATTACGGATTAAAAATAGAATAATTCCTATGCAATCATGAGATGATTCTACTAACAATTATCAGAACTATTCTTGCGTAAGTCTCATATAATTAAATTTTCTCACCCAATCGGTCGTGTTTTTCCAGCAATGCTAGCCTTAATTCGGGATGCTGTATTTTCAAGTGTCGCGCTGTAGCACAACCAATAATTCCACCACCAACTATAACGATATCAAAGTCAGGTGTTTTGCTGAAAACAATTCTTTCAATACGGAGTTATATGAAACTGAGACGAATTTTTTCTTGCTAAAATATTTATCAGCAAACAGATTTAGAGCTTATGAAACACTGACACATAACCAGAATAAAATTTCACTGAAATTTTTTTGAAATGATTTGGCCAATTTAATGCGTTTAAGCAAGACTTTTTTCAAATCAAACAAATTTTTGCACAATAAAAAATCATTTCAAAATTTTTTAAAATCATTAAATAACCTTTCTGAGCTGATAGTTGTGGAGGCATTGCTTGTCCTTCTGTAAGATAAGCAAACTGTACGGCTTCCGAAAATTCTACCAAATGCTGAAGATCGGAATAACAAAGAACTCATTTTACGCTCCCAATCAACGCCTGAAGATAATTACAATAGAAAACAAATAAACTTTTCTCCTTTTTTTCTACTCGTGAAATATTTTTGATTTAAATATTTTTGAATTTAATTTATAATGTTTGGTATTTTTTACAATCTTGGCACTATAAATGCTGACTTTTATAATTTAAATAACTTTTAAATAAAAATATCATTTCATTCATTCTTATAAATAACAAACCATATTAAAAGCGACCAATTTATTATTGGAAGATTTATTACTAAGAACGTTCACATATTGACAAACTTTACAACGATTTCAGTGCGACTACTACTAGTTTTACTTGTTAACAACTTTTTATCCACTTCTGTATTTTTAATATTGATCACCTCTAGCTTTAATCTTATAATCTAATTAAGAATAGTCATGCTTACTCTCTTTTGATCTCTATCCTTTTTAATCTCGACCACAATTAAATACACACTTTCTACTCCTACGTGTAAAACTCCCATCCCTTTCAATCTCTAACAGCACTCTCTCATAATCAATACATTTGCATAAACCTTACTTCTCTGTGGTCTGAAACTTATGTGCTACAATGACTTACATACGTGCAAATTCTATCTCATGACATAATTATCGAAGTAATATATTGTATTTATATCATTCCGTTAAGTAACAGAAAAGTGTGAGCGGAATTTTTGAAGACAAAGAAAATATAAACTTGTTTATATAATCAATGGGTTCAAAGGAAATCAATAACAAAATTGCTAGAGAAAATTAATTAAGACTTTGAATACTAAATATAAATAAATTTGCATGTGTAACACTAGAAATGATCAATATAAAAAATACAGAAGTGGACAAAAATTTGTTAACAAGTAAAACTATTATTTATCACGCGAATATTTGCATAATCAATAATCATTTCATGATTTACGCTTCTTAATATATTTATGACAAATTTCTTTAACTTTTCCAGGAATTACCGTACCTTTACCAAACATATTTGTTTGCTTTTAATTGAGCTAAAAGAATATTTCTTCTTAGTATTAATAAGATAAATATTGAAGACATAGCAATAAATAGTACTTTTCAAAACTGTCCTTTGCTTAAGCCCTTTTCCTTTTAGGAACAGCTTTTGTACACATCCAGAATTTCATCGCACTTCTGTATTACAACCATTTTTCTGCATTCAACATTTGAAGAATCCTGCATATTCTCCCAAATAACTAGCCGAGAACTGAATTTCACTTGTATTCATGCTAATATTCCAACTTGTATTTCATTTTCATTATCCATATGACTTTTTACCAGTATTTCTTGTTAACAGGTATTCTAGTTCAAGTGTTGATTTTATTGGTCAACCCTGTGATTTTATATTCGCTGATTAGTACTGCCAAGATATAATTCATGGTTTTTTATGCGTTCAAACTTTGATTCATATGGTTTTATTTTGAATTAATAATATTAATCGACAAAAGTATCAATTTAACAATATTTAACTGCTTTATACAGATACAGAAGAAATATAAACAAATTGCAAAAACTTTTAGCATAAGCAGAATAAAAAATAAAGACAATAAAACGCGAAGACATCAAACAATAACAATTAATTGACATGAAAACACAAAAATATTCGAAAAACTCGTAGAAGTGTTGAATCTTCCTTCATGAACCATCAAAGCATTTGATGGTTTTAAATCTCGTTAAAAATTCATGTGTTGTAATCGGCCACTGAAAACATATTCCTGATTAATCTGACAAATTTTAACATTAGGTTGGGAGGAAGCTTCATTTTAAATTTAAAATGCAACATAATCTCCATATCTAAAAATTTATGACTCTCATGATCTTGTACTTATTTTTGCAGTTTAAGATTGATGGCATAGCATAGAAGATTATTTGAATGAAAAAATTAGGAGAGAATGAAACAAGTAAGTTCAATAAGGAATTAAAAATCAAATTAAAAGAAGAATACGTTAATTTTGATTTCTTGATGGACACAATAATTTATAAAAAAGAACTATTTATGATTTTCAAAATGATCTTACTAGTTTTTCCAATAAATATTCCAGCTGAGGGGAAGCAGTTCCATCACTTTATATACGGGGTTAGTGATGGGAAGAGGAAGCGATATATTGCTTTAATTTTTTTAATCTGAAATGAATACAAAGTCATGAATACAGAATATGTCTGTAGAATAACTTATTTAATCACTTTTATGAAGGAGAAAAACTGATTAAATTCAAAAAACATACAATAAACATATAAGGAACAGCATCAGACTTTCTCTTCCTATAAGATGAAGTGGATAACGTCTGGTTCCTCTTCATTAATAAAATGTTAACATTAACTTCTCTTCTTCGATAATTAATGTTAGATGAGATCCACATCGTGTCGAAAAACGATACATGGGACGGGTAAGCATGGTGGTGAAAATTAACCATATTAATCTGAAATGAATATACCATTCCAAATATGGAAAAAAGATGCAACTCCATTCACAATTTAAAATTCAGGAAAAATAAATTATATACACTAAAATACTTACTATTTTTTTAATGCTTCAAACACCGCGGAAGCATCATCTATTCACGTTCTGAACTGCATTTTGCAATATGCAAACTGAAAAAAAAACAATGAAAAAGAGTTACTAGAAAACCAAACTGAAATGCAATAGCGACCATCACTGTTTAAAAAAAGTATTTACCAAGATTATGGTAAAGCTTCCGGTGACAACTGCGCACGAGCTTCCCGCTTTGCTGGAACCATGAATATTCTGTCCCTCCTACAAAAATCATAAACTTAATTGCAACGAAGTATACTATTAAGCATTTAATTAATTTCAACTACTAAATATTTAACTGAAGAGATATTTCTGATAATTTAAAAAAGCATTTGTTTAACTTTGTTTCAATATGTGTAATATTTCAAATGATATAACCTTCTGTTATTCATACAAAATGATAGCAAACAATAGACTAACGGGACAAATTCATGAGTTCCTTTTTCTGTTTATCGTGCGCCTCGATCTCTATCGACGTCACCGCAACCGTGTTACACCTCTTCCTTAACAAATAATCAATATTGTTCTTTAAGGAAGAAGTTCGCCAATTTTGATTTGCTGGTATTCTCTTCTTTTTAATTTAGTGTTTCAGTACCTAAAAATGTTGAATACTAAAATTTATGCATTTGCATATTACACATGACGAGGTCATTTAAAGAAGTAAATATTTACTACTTGATACACATGAAACTGAATCGTACCCCAAATACCATGCTAAAAATCTTCATGCTCAAATAAATAACCCCAACGGAATTTCCACACAGTATAAGTAATTCTCATCAATTAAGATAGATCCAGAATAAACATCTATTACGCCGTAGAGAACTAGTAATTCCAATATTTTTTAAGTTAAGAAGAGAACAATAAAAAAGTGTACATGCTTGCACACAATAATACGCAGAAACGTTTGCACACACGTGTCAAAAATACGCGCTCATGAAGATAAAAGTATTTGAAGAGATATGCAAGAACAGAAATGTGTGATTACATTCTAGCATAAGTAAATACGACATATTATATATAGAAAATATACATACAAACAGGCACGCAAAGTGCAGACGGACGTGCAGTTATGAACACAGTAGCATGGCTCCAACAATACGTAAAGCATACACGATCAGACCTCACCCACCACACCACGCCACACCAGACCAGACAAGAAGTGAACTGTATGCTAATAAAATTACGCGTAAGCATGCAAAAGAAATATGCGAAGGCTCTCAAAAAGACACTCCCACAAATGCACTTACACACGCACGCATGCACAAACATATCATTGAAACTTGATCCGTGTTGGCTCGCGTCCAAAATTGTGCTTACCTCAAAGATGACCTCAGCATAGCGTAACTATTACTTATTTGCATAAATTCCACCAAATAATATTTGTTTTCACAATTATATTCTTATACATTTATGCACTGATAATAATGACAGTTAATCCATTCTTTAAGCAAAATTAGCATATTTTATAATAATCGATTATTCCCATAAAAAGTTATTAACATAGTTTGCTACTTTCATCAGTATTATCTTCACGTTATCCTTTTACCTTTTAAGCAAAATAATACGTAATAATAGTTATTATTACTATACACGTTTTGCTTCTGACGTTACTAATTTATTGCAAAGCTTTTCAATTCAATTCTTAATAATTTATTAGCTCATTATGTAAAAGATATAGAACCTAATATAAAAACTATCACAATCAACAAATAATTACTATTATTTGTATTTTAAAAAATGTATTATAATTAATATATGTTCTCAATATACAGAAACACTAAATAGTATACAAAAGATATCAGTGACAAATGACTTTTGATTTTAACTCTTATACTCGTTTACTTAATTTCCGTGAATTGTGTCCCAACGTTTTCATAATGCTTAATTATTAATATTATCTTAGATTCTATTATCTTTTAACCAAACAATTACATTTTGGTAATTAATAATCATTACTGTAATCATTTCGTTGTTTTCTTGCTAAAATAATTTTTAATCTCTACTTGAACAGTCAAGTTTTGTGCTGTTACAATCTAACTCATTATTAGTTTGCTTATTAAACGTAACCTTTACCAAAAGGTCACAATAAATTTGAGCACAAGGTGTGATTTGCTTTGCGGAATATTACTTGTAGTTTTTATAATACGAATATATTACTAATTTTATCAATATTCTTTTGTTAAATATTTGATTTGATAGTAACAGATTACTCAGTAAGATAAAAACTTGGATCGTAAAGTACTTTATAGTACTTACAATTATTGCACTTATAATTATTAACTTAAAATATTAAGTTAGATGATACTTATGGTTACGGTGCTTATAGTTATTGTATTGTATTAAATGTATTAATTATGTGTGGTAACGATAACAAATGAGTTTTATTATGGAATAAGCAAAAATGGTACTAAATGCACCATAGATTTATAAAATGCTAGAAAAATCTCGCCTTTGTGAGATACAAAAATATACAAATTACTTAATGAATATTTGAACTTTCGTGTTGTATTTAAGCGTAATTTTGTGAATTCAAAAGTAATAGTATAATTTATCGAATTTGACATGATTCCCATGAAACTTACAAACTATCAGAACTATAATGAATTAGAAAGAATGCACAGTTTCTGTAGCAAAAGATGTGAAAATTATAAAGTCAAACTCATAATTTAATAAGTAAGCATTGTATAGTTTAGTTTGCTTGAGTTAAAGTTGTCATTTAAATTCTTTATTAAGTATTTGATTTTTATGGCAAATATTGAAGTAATTTTTTCAAAACTTATCTACCATTCAAGATTTATTTTAATTATATGCAATTTATTAATACGTAATTACTATCTTACAAGTAATAATCTCTTTCTGTTATTAAGTATATTTTTCTAATTATAAAGCTAAAAAATTTTTAAGATTATTTATCCATTAAAATTTTTTAAAGCAGTAACAAATATGAAAAGAGAAGTAATCATAAAATTGTAAGCAAATTAATTTTTTAGAATAAATTATTAATCAGCAGTAATTTAAAAGGTTTGTTGTCATGATTATTTTTGCTTAAAAAACTAAAATGAATTTCGAGTAATAATAATTTTATTTTATGATTTTCAAAAATAAAAAAGTTTCAATCAATCAATTTTTAATTTCATTTCGATACATTTCAAATGTTTAATTTTTGATATATTTAAAATATAAAAATCAAATACTTAAAAAAGCTGAAGCAGGAAAACTCAGTAAAGCTCAGTTATTAAAGTATTTTCTTGTATTAATTTGATAGCAAATATTAATACATAACATAAATAAATGCAAGAGTTTTTTTGAAACTATCCAAACTGAGTGAATTGGTGATAACTGCTAAACATATGACCTCTTCCTGATAAGTCGCTACTGCTACTATCTTGCTGACCCAATTGGAAGGACGATTTTCGCGTTATTGATTCCGTCTGGAAATTTTATGAATAATATAAATTTATAAAAATTTACCACTATTTTATTACACAAAATTTTTAAATATTTATGAGTTATTATGAATGCACAGAATATGCAAACTTAGATAAACATAAGACTTTATCGTATGAATAAAGTATCATATATAATATAGAACGTTTTTGTATTTGAAAAAGTAACCTGAATGTATCATAGTTACTATGCATACTATTATATCAGAATAATTAATAAAGATAGTAAAAAAACATGATAATTTATAATAACGGAAGAAAATAATCATATAATAATATTCAAAAAAATTTTGATCAACTTCGAAATATCATAATAGACTTATTTACTAATAAAAATATATATGAATTTGTTTTTTGATTAAAATCAAAGAAATTCAATTAAAGAATTTCAACTTCTTGAGAGAAAGCGCGCATCATCTGATTCCGATCAGATCTTGTGGCTGATGTTGCTGATCTATGCATGTTAGTTGATGCTTGAGATGGACTGCATGTTCGTCCATAAGACCATTGGATCTTAATGTAATCAACTGTTTTTGAATATTTAAATTTACTGATTAAATTATGATCATTTGTGATAACGAAAAAATGTAATTTGTACAATTTCAGTTGAACTTTGGATTATCTAAAAGTCTGAAAGAAATAGAAAATTAAAAAAAGAAATTTAGAATGAAATTTTTAATAATATTAAATTTAAAACAACAATATTATGTACAATAAAACAAGTGATTTTTAAGTTTTACAAATCATAAACCATTTGCATTAAATAATCTATTTTACATTTTTTTTAAACTGTTTTTAAACATTTTTAAGTATATTTTTTTAAACAAAAATTATCAAAAATGTGATTTTTTTTTGTTTTCTGAATTAAAAAATTAAAATTCGACTTAAAATCACAAGAGTGAATAAATCATTAAATTCAATTAAATTAAGTTAATTAAACGTTTAAACTTAAAATTGCTTTATTTATTGTGATGAACTAAGTTATCAATGTTTTTTAAATATTTTTTAATAATTTTAGGTAAAAGAAATTTTAGACTTTTTACCTAAAATTTGCAAAAAAATATTTTTTATAAAAAAAAGTTCTTTGAAAAAATTACGTGAATAATTATTAATCAAATATCGCAAATTTTAATAATGGAATAAATTAGTAATTATTAATTAAAAAACAAAGGAATAGACTTACTTGATAAAGTGATATGTAGCCACAATTCCGTACTCGCAAACGCTCAACCATATTTAATGCTTCCAAACGATTTGATGGATTCAATATACTTCCAAATTCACATAATAAAACGTATGCAAATGGTTTATGATTTGTTTTGCTAAAATAAATTTTATTTGAAAAAATAGCAATTCAAATTTAATAATTAAAAAAAATCAATACTATCATTTAATTAATGTGAAAGAAACGTATTTTTTGAATTGCTAAACAGAAAAAATATATATATTTGTTTAAATGCTATTTTTGCTATTTTATTTTTCTTATATTATTTAATTCATAGCATATTAATTAATGATACTAAATAATTCGTTATGCATAAATTAAAATTGTTTTTTCAAATTAAAATTATTTATTACTATTACTGTTTTTTTAGCGTAACATACAAATATTATTGCTTTAGCATACATTTCTTTTGGAAATTTATGCAATGCTATTTTTCGTAAATTCCAACTTCTAGGCGAATATTTGTAAATTTCTCGTGCACCTGACCAACTCAGCCAAGATTTTTCTAATCTATCATGCTGTAAGTAGGGTAGGCATATTTTTTCTAATTATAAACTGTACAATACAAATTGAATTTACTTTATTGAAAATTTAACAACGAAAAAAAATATTAGCTAATTTTTAAAATAAAAGTAGTAAAAAAAAGCGAAAAAAGTTTTTTTCCAAAATTTTTAATGCAATGTTTTATATTCAAAATTACAAAAAAAAAAATTGTAAAAGTTTTAAGAGTTAAAAAAGTAATTAATTCGTTTATTAAAAAAATTATAATATTTAATCGAAAGTAAATTTATACTTTTGTTTGATCGTCAAGTAGTTTAAATAATATAACAATAAAACCAGCATGTCGATGTGATGGTAGTTTTGAATTTTCACTTGATGAAACTTTCTGAATCACACATATCTCATCATATGCACCTAAATAATCACTCAATAATTAATTTGCATATGCAAATTTCTTATCTGACATTCTAATTAATTTTGAAATAAATTTCTATTACTAAATGAGAAAAATGGCGAAAATATTCAATTCATCAACAAAATTAAATTCCATTTTTATATCTATTTCAATTTCATTCTGCTAACTAGGAAATATGATGAATTCATACTATGCATATTTTACGCTTAAATAATTTTATCCGATTAAATTAATTAAACTTATACCAAATAGTGATTTTGGTCGAAGGTGAAGATCACGAATAGCTTGATCAATCTGAGCTGTTCGTAATTCATGATCAGGGTTTGTGAACAAAGCATAGTGCAAATATAGATATAATGCTATAATTTATAGTATATGAATTTAATTTATGTGATTAAGCGCAAAAAATTAATGAAGAATTTATAATACAAATAAATAATCATGAATTATTGATATAAACATTTGCAATGAACTGAAAACTTTATGTTTGAACTGATAATTTTTGGTTTTGTTAAAAGTTAATATTTTTCTAAAAATATAAGTATAAAAATAGCAAATAATCTGTTTTATATTCTAAACTTTTTGTTAGCTTACGTTTAGCATCTACACATTTGAGTAAAATGCCTTCTGAAAAATATTTATTTTCAGCAATTATGCTGCACTGCGCGATTGCTCGATCTAAAGAGGATTCTCCACTTGCTGATTTGATTCTATAAACATTTTCAGTCATCTGTTAAATATTTTAATAAGCAATATAACTATTTTGATAAGTAATTTACAACTATTAATGATTAATGAGTAATAAATGATTTAAAAATGAATTAATGAGTAATAAATGATTTAAAAATGACTCTTCATAATAACATTGCTAGTAACAAAAATAATCCTTAATTCATTGTATTTATTTAAATATTTTGATTAAGGCTTTCATTTTTAATATTATTTTTTTAATTTGTAATAGCAGTTAATAAATTTATGTATTTATTTTTTAATTCGATAATTATTTAAAAATATATGAAATATTATGAGAATTATACAATCTACTAAAACGTATAATTATTTTGTTTTATTCTTAAAACGATGCAAAACCAATATTCTTAAAAGATTAAAAAAATTTGTAGAATTAATTAAATATTTGATAAATTTTGAGGTAATTGAAAACTTCAATTCAAATTGATATTAATTATCGATGCAAACAAATAATTTTTTGTCCTGATAATTAATTAATTATGATTATTTACTCTGAAAATATTCATTAAAAGCAAAAATTTTACAACAAATATTCACACCAATTATTTATCTTTTTGAATTCAAACTTTTTTTTTCAAAATTTGATTGATTGTTTAAAAATTTTAATTTAAGCATTTCACTAAACTATTCAATTTTAGACCCTAAAATATAAATCATTTGCAACAGCATTTCTTAAAAGAAAAATTTTAGAATTATTTTAGAAAATATCTTGCATTAACAAATTTTCTACTTCAATTCGAAAACTATTTTCTAAAAGATGTAAAAAATTAATGAAAATACTAAAAAAGTAATAAAAACTAAAAAAATTAAAGAACGTTTCTTTAAAAATGACATTTTCATTTCTATTTTTATTTTAGATAAAATCTATTAGTGAATATAATTAACAAAATAACGCTTTCATTTATGTAAAATTTAAATTGAATTTTTATTCTTACTTTATATAAATTTGATTTATACCTAGCAAATTTGTGCATAAAAATCATTTTTTTAAAGCTTAAAAGAGTATATTTTATTAAATGCTTATTTTTTTAGCAAATAATTCCGAAAATATAAACTGAAAAAATTCTTCTAATAAAAGTATGAAATGTATTGTATTTTACTGCTGCTTAATTATTTACTTAAGAAAAAATCAAATTTTTGCAAAAAATTTGATTTTTGTATTTTTTTAAAAAACGATAAATTTTTTGCTTTTGATAGTTTTATAATAACATAGAAT